AAACCCAGCGGCACCATTATGCCAGCGCTGAAAAAGTAAGCGACGAGGTAATAGCTCTTCGTTTTTATTTTTCTTTGTTTTCGACATTTGTGTTCGACACAGGCAATTTCGGAGTTGAAATTATAAAAGAATGAAGAAGAAAAGCAAAGGAGTATTAAGAATTTCTTGTTTTGCCTACATTGTATACATTTAGTCTGCTTTTGATTTTAGTGAAGTGCGAACAGTGAACAATTTTTAATTTTTAAAATCAAATAAAAAGCAAAAATATAAATAAAATATAATTTGTAATTTCACATAAACTCACTGTAAGTATATGCAAAATTAAGTAAATATATTTAAAATGATAATTGAAATTTTTGTTTTGTATTATGTAGATGCTACTGCGTCAAGAACGATTAAATGACCAATGTGCTGCGAATGCAGTCATTCTAAAGCAAGGGGTAATCAGCTGTAGTCATGTAGTCAGCTGTTTCAATTGGAAAATTTTACAATTCAAACTGAGGAGGATTTAATTCAATTTAATGAAGAAATCACTGCCGTTGAAGTAGTTGTAAGTTAAATTATATATGTTTCTTACTTTCAATTTCAACTTATTAATATATTCACATGTAACAATTTTACTAATTCATACATTTCTTTTCATCTATTACGTTATTTATAGACTGCATCAATGAGACGCGTTATTAAAAAACAACCAATTACGCGAAAAATTTCCTGGAATTTTGGAGAATGGTACCCAAGGCAAGAAGTCCTTAAGAGCATTAGAGAATGTGACAGCAGCACTTTTTGGTATGGTATATTGTACATAATTAACTTTAGCGTATACAATAACATACTTTTGTATTTACAGATGCTTTAAGTACAGATGGTAAGCCGGAACAAGTGATCGAGTCGAGTCTGGAAATCTCTTCAAGGTGTTAGTAACAATTTCCAGAAAAATATTCATCTATATAAGTATGTTATATTTTTTTATGTAAATATTAATATTTTAATTTTATAAAACATAAATATAAAATATAATTTATCCAAAAAAATTTATAGTATTTTATTTAAAAATCAATAGCATAGGTAAAATTTAAAAGGTAAGCGAACATGTCAGCGCTGATATGTTGCATTACAAATTCGAAAAGGTAAGCTAACATGTCAGCGCTGATATGTTGCATTACAATTTCGAAAAGGTAAGCTAACATGTCAGCGCTGATATGTTGCATTACAAATTCGAAAAAGTAAGCGAACATGTCAGCGCTGATATGTTGCATTACAAATACGAAAAGGTAATCGAACGATTCAGCGCTTGCCCGCAATGACATGCACGTGTTAAAGTAATTAGGAGTTTCCTTTGAATAATCAGCGCTAGGCATTACCATTCAGCGCTGAGGGAATCGATTCCCTCAGCGCTGAAAGTCCCGCTGGGACTTGTCTAAGCGTCTATATATGTGTGTATATTCTCTGGTGTGGATTCATACGTAGCAGCGCATATTTTGTTACAAATTATTTGCATATTTTATGAAGGCATTTCTGCTAATGAAATCGCAGTTAAGTTTGTGGAAGGCGTGTATATTTTGTTGCTTGTATGTTGGAAAAATTTTAATGAATTTAATTTGGCATAGTTGAGTTTGTGGTAAGCTTAAGTTTACCATATTTTTATTACATATTTCATAATAAAATATATCATGTAATTAGTTAATTAATGAATGGATATGTAGTGGTGGATAATTTTACGTTTATGAGTTCATTATATAAATATGACATGAAGAGGGATAATTTTACATTATATGTTCATATATTATTGTTATTAATTATATTAATCTTAATACACATATATTTTTTACTATGTATTTAAAAAAAATATATTTAGAAATATATTTAGAATGTTAAAATAAATTTTGTATTAATTTTTTTTTTTAAATAACTTTAATTCTGTTAAATTAAGCATGATCTGAATTTGATTCTGAATTTGAAATATATAATGATACATAAGTATAGTGCAACTGTTTTTTAAATAAAAATACTTTTTTAAAAATTTCATGTAGTGTATTTATATATTTTTTAAGATGATTTCATTAAAAAGAGTGTCTTTTGTAATTATTACATATATGGTATGATATCAGGTGTTTCCATTTGAATAAATTTTTTTTTTCCTACATCGTTGTGTTTGTTATAAAATTTTTAATCCCTGTATCTACTGAACTCACCCTTGTTCTTAAGTTTTTCACTTCCTAATCAAAAATTTATATGCTGCCAATAAATACAAAGGTTTATTTTTAATAATTATATATAATTTTTAATTTTTGCTAATGCGAAGTGCTTGAATTTAATCTATTTTCACACGCCCCTTAATTAATGGATTGCATTCGATACGTGTTCGCTCATTGTTCCCTATTGGTTTCGATTTCTTTCGAGAATTCAGAAGAAATTAAGGCCGTACATGAGCACTAAATTTCATATAATTTAAACACTTTTTTTTTAAATTACTGCAGATATTCAATCCAATTTCAAATCAAATATTTGACAACTGTCATTTTAGCATTTTAGCATTTGTGTTATTATTGTTATTAGAGATACAATCATTTTTGACCATAGCACCAAACCTACCCCTAATACTGCAGCACAGCATTACGACAACAACAACAACAACAACATACAGTACACACGGGCCAACCAGCATTAAAAAACAAAACAAAAAGAAACAAAAACAAAAAAAATATCAAAAATGAATTACAAAAATAACTTGAAAATTTGCTGGATCAAAATGCCTGTTATTTGCTTAACGATTTCCGTTTAAATATTTTCAATGCTACTTGCTGCTGCATA